TTCCTACTATCTCTGACTGTAAACATGTTCTGCCTGTCTGCTATCCACCGTCTTTGTGTCAATCCGAGCGCATTCTTCTGGGAGCTTTACCATCAGCAAGCGCACACTCTTTGCCCGGCCTGCGCTGCCCCTTGCCTTGCGTGTTGAGGGGTTGGTGTTGTTTGTTCAGTTCGCCTTCACTCCATCTGCTCCCTCCAAGGAAAGGACCGCATAGAAAAATGGACAGTGTGTCTGTGCACGTTTCTCCCCGATCAATAGACCCCTTGGAGAGGATGGTGGAGGGGATGATATACCTTGTTGAAATCGCAGCTGGACTGACAGTGCACAAGAGCAGAGAGCCCAACTCTGTGTGACCCCACTCCAGGAGGGACAGAGGTCCTGCCCGTTCCTCAGCAGCATGTCGATATGCCGAGGAAGCTGACAGGAGGGTACCGGAGGCTGACTGGAAGCAGCTCAGATGCAGCTTCCCCAGAAGCAAAACCGAATGGCAAAGCAATCATTGGAGGGGCTTCTCCATCCCAGCAATATCCGTCCCTGCTGTGGCGAGAAATATTCACGGCGGACTATCTCCCAGCTAAAGCACCTTCTCCGCTTGTTTACAGCAGTGAGCGGGAATCTGCACCTCGCCAGCTGGACTGGGCGTCCACAGGATTCGTACTGGAAGGGCCATATCGCTCTTCCCTCAGTTCCAACGTGCAACCAATATAAACAGCAACGTTACCCCATCCCTTACGGAAAAGCAAAACAGTGCGGATGCTGGCAATCCGATAGACCCACCGAGAATGGCTGGAGAAACTCAACAGTTCCAGGTTCTGAAGCCGACTGTTCCAGGACTCGAAATGTTCCCTGTTTCTGTCTCTCTCCCCGCAGAGGCTTCTCTTGCAATCTCTGTGTGGCTTTGTCGACAGAATCACTCAGAATTGCTACCCACCGCCCCACCCCATCCCGACACAATGCAGCCATATAGATCAAATCAACGAGATTCATACATGAATATTTGTCTGAGGTGTTAAAATTTGCGGTATAGTAAAGAATTGCAGTGCATGTTTTGAAATCTGTTCGAAGTATTCAAAACGCGAAGATTTCAGAAATGCTTGCGCACTGTCACAGCCCTGGACTGCCACGGTTTTAATTTAGCAGCTACTCTGAGATAGACTGCGCTGAATGAAGTCTTCTACACCTTACACTATTCAAATGAGGTTGCAAGTCAAGATTCATGCCTTGGATAAATCTGGCTAAGCCAAAGATTCAAAGGATCGGGGATGGCCCTGACGAACTGCCAAAAACAAACCCTTTCTCCAGAAAGCAGGCAGAACAGCCGAACAACCTTGAACTACTGACACCTGATGTCTGGATCTGATTGACTTCTTTAGCTTGACCAAGCTGACAACTACTGGGCAGTTGGAAACTGCAGTTTTATACTTCCTTGGCTGCTTTCCCCTGTCCAGCACAAATCGCTCTTTAGTCTCTCTCTGTCTCTCTAATTCTTAAGCAATGACCTTACATCAGTGTCTTCTGGTGATCAATGGATTCCTACTTCTGACTGAAGGGTCCACGTGCAAAGCCAGACTGCTTTCTTTCCAGGCACTGTCTGTCTCTGGTTTTGTTTTTTCATTTCTTTATTTCTTTTCTCAGGCTCAGATATGCTCCACCCAAAGAATATAGAACAGTACCGTCCAGGGACTCTGTCCACGAGGCAAACGACCTGACCATTGAACCACCTCTGTATTTTTACTGCAATGGTCTAGTTGTATTATCACTGGACTGTTAGTCCAGAGACACAGATAATGTTCCGGGGACTCAGTTCAAATCCCGCCATGGCAGATGGTGGAATTTGAATTCAGTAAATATCTGGAATTACAAATCTAATGATGACCAGAAATCCATTGTTGATTATCGGGAAAAACTTATCCGGTTCACTAATGTCCTTTGGAGAAGGAAACTGCCATTCTTACGTGGTCTGGCCTACATGTGACTCCAGACCCACAGCAATGTGGTTGACTCCTAGCTGCCCTCTGGGCAATTAGGGATGGACAATAAATGCTGCCGAGCCAGTGAGGTCCTCATCTCGTGAATGAATAAAGAAAACAAAACCTTTGAGTTTGGATTTCAGCAAGGAGCACCTACACAACACAGTGTCAGCTCAGAGATGTAACTTGCACAGTCCTTCCCAGTGTACTGTGGGGGGGGGGGGGGCTCCCAATTCTGACCTAAGCACGAGCTGCAAATGGCCTACTCCTCGAACAGCAGAAATTGGCATGTTCCACATTTTACAAGGTTCTACCTCTAAAGTAGAGAATGGTTTCAAACCATGTTTACGAAGACATTTTAGTGTATTTACACAAGGAGCCCTATACTCAGAGACAAAACTTACCAAATGACAATATTTAAAATATTTTCACATCTACTTTATTCTTCAACTCAATCACTTTCTGTTAACCAACCACCCAGGATATATCTCCAATTTGCTTAAAAACAAACAGTTCATGTTGATTCACAAGGCAACAAATGAAGATAAATGTTTGATTCCCATAAAAAGACTACTTTAGATTCCTACAATGAATAAGAATTTAAAGAGACTGAGTGTTCAATCAAAAGGATTCACAACACAAAAACTCATCAAGTAGATACTTTCTACATGTTGAAGTGCACAAGCCCAGCAATTGGTAGAATTACAACAAACCACCATCAGGTTTGTTGCGAGTTCTGGTTCTGCACAATGAATTTATGAGATGCCAGAGGCACTTGAAATTGGACCTGGCTATCACCACATACAAGTGATGCATATCAGTGCCTGCTTGTGAAGGAAATGCCACAAGAAAGTGTGCCTTCTCCTTGCTTCATGACTCAAACTGTGCTAATTTACACTTGTTTTGGATCAATCCATCACAAGTCCTGTTTTGTTGCATGAGATCATTTGGAACAGTCTGGTGATTCCAATGTGCTCCCAGCAGCAATGTATCACTCACAGGACAAGCACACAGCCTCAGGGCATGCATACAGTACAGTCAAACAGCATGGGGGCACTGCATTGCTGGTCTGTCTGTATATCTACTGTAACTAAGCTTCATGGGGACACTGCATTGCTGGTCTGTCTGTATATCTACTGTAATTAAGCTTTGAGTTTAAAACTGTTCAACCCTAGAATCACAGCATATCATTATTTTTCAATCGCAAGCTGAAGGAAATGGAAATGGGTGAAAAGAAAACTCACTTCTCCCAGATTCCATTCCAGTTTCCAATGGCCCAAACCTGGAGGACATCCTTGATGCATGTCATGAAGAAAAATTCAATACATAAAAGATGTATCAAAATATCCATAGATATTGTTTCTGACCCTGGATTCAGTCTCTCCCCAGGGTTGTCCTGTACCGTCGCTTTTCGTACAGTTCAATCAAAATGCAACATTCGGAAAATGGTCATATTTTTGATGAAGTATCACAATTGGGGAAAAAGTACACCTGCAAAAATTACTGTGTGTAAACCTCCGTGGAGCTGTGAGGTAAATAATTCTACGCACTCATCTATAACCTCACATTGTCTTCTCTTGGTGTGTCTGAGTTCGGTTTGCGCACGTATCATTTTACAATACAAATCTTACATGTCATATGGAGAAGAATCACTTTGCTCTTGACTGAGATTTATTCACTGATAAACTTCTAGCCCATTTTACTTCAGTTTTTCAAATACAAAATATGCACATTTTGTATTTGGGCCCAGCATGTAAAGGATAAATTCCAAATGCAGGGATTACTTTTCAAGTCGACAATAAAAAAAATCAACTTCAGTGACATTCTGAAATTTGGGAGGAAAATAAGTATTTTGTTTCTAAAATTCCATGAAACTAACCCTGACTTCTCATTCTTTAAACAAAAGCTATGAGCAGTAGGTATAGATGATAAGAACCATTCAAATTGTACCCAAATATAAATCTGAGAATGTACCAATTTTTACCAGAGCTGGCTCAGCCACAGTAGGATCCATGCTTCCCTAAAATGTACCACCGTATTAGATGGCCCCCTGTCAGCAATCAGGTTTAACACAAGTTGCTAGTTATAAAATCATGACCAAAAATCTCCCACTGCTTTATTGCAGTTTATCTGATCCAATCAATGTGGTTGAGGGTTCAGTATCATCAAACCCTCCCAAATCTGTTCTAGTAATAGTCATGGGGATGAGCCAACAGTTCAGTTTTATTAATGTGTGTGTGTTTGCATGTGTGTATGTGTGTGTGTGAGAGAGAGAGAGTGACAGAGAGAGAGAGAAGTTCGCACCAGCCATCAGAAAATAAAAACTCACTTTGGCTGCCATGGTCTAGCCACTTCGCACCAGTCTGGCCCCCTGGTAATTAAAATCCACTGAAGGCTTGGCCAATTGGAAACTAAGGCCTTCAAACCACCGTGCGCTGGAAGAACCGACAGTTTTTTTTTCCAAAGAAAGAAGGGATCCATCAATCCAAGCCATAGTTTCAAACAACAGTGGAGGAGGACGAGGCTGTGGAAGGTGAACTTGAATTCCAGAAAAACCACTTGCGCTTGAGCTGGCGTTTCTGGCACAAGTAATCCTCTTTATCACGTTCCTTCCTAGCTCGCTGGTAGTGATCATCCTCTTTTAGGAACCAGACAGGAGGCCAGCGATGCTTTTCAAAGTAGTCCTGGTTTTCTGAAAGGAAATGTCAACAAAATCATGAGTAGAACATTTGCTTCACACTCATTTCACACCACATTATAAGGTCTTCCTTCCTGAGCGGAACCAGCAAGCCTGCATTGCCCAATGCAACCTTTTGCAGCTCCACACCCACTCCCCTCACTAACCCAAGTTCAAGAAACAACTTGGATTTTACTGGTGAATTTCATGAGCTCAGCACAATGGAAAATGTCTCACAACCAATTAAGTACTTCTCAAATGTTGTCATCCACAGAGGGAACACAGTGGACAATCAGCACACAGGAAGATCCCACAGAAATGAGGTCATGTGATTGTGTATTCATTATGATGATCCAGGATATATAGACAAGACTCCTCTGTTCTTTTCTGATCTTCTACATTGACCAAAGAGGGCAGACGGGGCCTTGGTTTAACATCTCAACAAAGAACAGCGCCTCTGGTCAATGCAGGAATCTCTCAGGACTGCACAGGATCCTTAGCCTAGATTATGTGCTCAACTCTCCAGAGTGGGCTTTGAACTCAATTTTTCATTCCATGGTTAGCCATGATCAGGGTGCATCTCTCAAACATCAAGGCTCCAGAGATTTCCTAATCTTTCTGATAAAGGGCTGTGGATGCTGGAAGACAACTTTCAACACTGAAATTGATTGTGATTTTTCTGAGGTAAGTGTATAAAGGAATACGGAGTTCAAGCAGCTAATCACAGCTCAAGTGCAGAGCAGTCACAACTAAATAGTGGAGCAGCTGAATGTTGAACTACATTCTACTTTACGAATCCTGCAGTATATTGGGATTCTCTTCTGGATAACTGTGTTATTCCCATCAACTATACCAAACAATAGCATAATGACAGGCAATGCATTCAAAGCATGGACTCATTAGATCCCATAAGCTTTTATCTACTTGTGTTACAGCCTTCAGGAGGGAGGGAAAGAGCATGTCAAAGGGGATTTCTCACTCCTGTTATTGAGATTGAACAATTGACCAGATTGACAATATGTCTGGGTGGGATGATGAAGGACTTTAAAAAGGGAGATGGACTTAGGATGTTTCATCTAGGGAAATATAAACCTCAGGGCTATAAATATGATAGTCACTAATAAATGAATGAGGGAATTCAGGTGAATTTCCTCCAAGAGTGGTGAGAAAGTACACCTTGCTGTCTAGGATAGGCACTGGTTTTGGCAATGCAAGATAAGCAAATGAGGCAAGAAGGAGAGATTGAAAGGGTGAGATGAGTAAGCTGGGAAGTAGTAGGTGTGACAGGTCACAGATCTGTGGTGCTTGACAACCAGTCTCGTTTTGTAAAGTTCAAAGTAATTTTATTTAGCAGTGGCAAGACAGCAGCACTACTCACAGTCCCCATCCTCAATGCAAAATGCTTTCGCACCTCCAAGATTTACATCTGAAAGCTGGCTGATGGCCTGTGGGAATCCTGTCTGGACAGAAATGTACAGTAGCTCCAATAATGGCCTTCCAAGTGAGTGAAGCTCCCAAAAGAAAGTCAATCCGGGGGTGCATTTTAACCTCTGGCACATCAGACGGATTGGTGCAGAAATCCACAAAACCCAGAGTGATGCAGAGTGAACAGAGGATCACACAACAAGTTTTGTAGGATCTGGCTGTGTGTAAATCGGCTGCTGTGTTTCTGACTTTAAGGCACTAACTTTAAAAGCACATCAGAGACTGTGAAACAAACAGTGTGTGATATCCCAAGGTCATGATCGGCACAATCTCAAAAAAAGTTGCTTTTTCATCTTTCAGAACCTAAAGGGACTGTTAGCCAGGATGGAAATAAACTATCTCTTAGCGAACCAGTGAAACAAGCTTCTCTTTGAGTTTCATGTTCAAGACAAAAGCGGTCAGCTCCAACATTCTGAAACAAGACTGCCTGAATCAAACAAGTGTACTATAGCCAGTGCATACAAAATCCTATTGTCTCTTTTCAAACAATTGAGAATTGGTACTGTGACATGTTGGAAGAAGAATGGGACATATGGTAATTTTAACTATAAAAGGATCACACAAACCGAAAATATGTACCAATAACCAAATCAGAGAGTCATACAGCACAGCAGACCACCATTGGGTGCATTTCACCCCTGCTGGCTTTCTGAATGAGCTCTGGTTTGTTCTGTTTCCCTGCACTTTTCCCAAATAATTCATTTTTAAATAGCAATCCAATTCTCTCCTCAGAGTTACTGTTGAATCTGCTTCTGTCACTCTTTCAGATAGTGTATTCCAGATTGTAAAACGTCACTGCATTACTTCACATTTCCCCTCTAGCTTTATTGGTTCCAATCTGTGTCCTCTAGTTTCAGAACTCGCTGCTGATAAACAGGTCTTCCGTGATTAGGTTTACAGAGACAGAGACATCCAGGATTGTTGGACGTTGTGTTATTTCTGTTGAATTCTCACAACAGACCTAGGTCACATTATCCTCTACCTCTGATATGATTCTGAAAAAAGCAATGAAAGGGCTCCAACTGCCTAAGAGTCTAAGCATGAATAAAAGAAGGGAACCTTAACCTCCTGTGAAATATGAAGGATCATTGACAAACTGAGGTGCTGAGTGAATACTGTCACATCTGTAGGGGGTTACAATGATGAAGGTGGAATTGTATGGCAGAGCACATGGTGTTGTTGAATGAGAAAGAGTACTGGAATCCTACCAGGAGACTTTGCCTTCATTTCTCTGGGAAACTTGCGACATACGTTGTTGTAGTTTGTACAGATGTGATGCAGGCACCATTCAGCGAGTTGATGGGCACAGTGGAACTGCTCAGAAAGCAAGAGAGAAATACACATAAGCTTATTGTCACTCTTCATTAAATCTACTGCTCAATGAACCTTTTAGTCAATTACAGGCCTCATTTAGACAGAAGCTCTCAGAGTCCCACCCAACACTTGGCCAGATATCAAGCTGGTCACTGCACAGCAATGGGAATTTGGGGACAGATGGCATCATAATCTGTGTCAGTGAGGTCTGGAGGGAATAAGGAATCAAAGAGGTTCTTGAGTAACTGCAGGGAGATCAATGACTCAAATCCTGTGGTGGGGTGCGGTAAGTGAGGGAGCACACTCCTTGCTCCTCATTTCCAAGCATTTGGATCAAGCTTGTTAAGCAGTACCATGTACCAATGGTTGCCTGTAGTCAGTCAGCAACTTTTGCTGTGTTTTGTCAATAGGCAAGGGGAAATATGAGAGACATCCATGTGTGGTTTCAAAATTACACGTGTGTCAATTAAGTCAGTGGCCTTTGGCCTTTGCATGTGCAGTAGGCAGTGGGTTAAAATTGACGCCACAATGTCAGACCATTGTCCATTTGATGCAGAACAGTGGTGTTATCCTGAGTTAAACTTGGTGCTCTTTAACTTGATTAACAAGTCACCAATGTAGTCCCAGCCAGGAATAAACACAATATTCTGGAATTCATCACTTGAAATGCAGAATGTCTCTAGGCTTCATATTTGAACTATATAATTTGTTATTTCTGTCCTTCTGGTCAAGTGGTCCCTTGTTTAATCATGAAAATTCAATTAGGTCAAAATCTCCTCAATTTCATCAAGTAGTAAGCTCTCCTTTGATGGAATGGAATGATTTATAAACCTCTTTAATGGGTTGTGGGTGTCACTTACCTGTTGCCCGACCCTAATTACCCTTAGAAGGTGGTGGTGGCCTGTTGGAATGCACCTGGTGCAGGTTCACCCACAATCCTGCAGAGTACCAGGATTTTGACCTAATGATGGTGAAGCAGTGGTGATTATGTTAGGATGGTGAGTGGCTTGGAGGGGAACTTGTAGATGGTGGCATCCCCATGTATCTGCTGACCCTATCCCTCTCAATGGAAGTGGTCGTGGGTTTGGAAGGTGCTGTCCGAGGATCTTTGGTGAATTTCTGCGGTGCATCTTGGAGATGGTACACAGTGCTGCTACTGAGGATCGGTGATATTTGTGGATGTGGTGCCAATCAAGTGAGCACTTCGTCTTGGATGGTATCAAGCTACTCAAGTGTTGTTGGAGCTGCACTTTTCTAGGCAATTAGGGAGTATTCCAGGAGTCAGTACCCCAGGAGTCAGCCACTCCTGACTCATCCCTTGTCGATCCCTGTCTCCCAAGCTCTTTCCAAATGTGACCTCATTTTGAGGTATGAAAATTGTCTTGACCCCTCAGTGAGATATGAGTGGAGAAATGGTGAAGAGAGATTTGTGAGAGCTAGTTGGTCCTTTGTAACCAAGGGCCTGCCCATGAGCACAGGACACTGCTGTTAATACTCCATTAAAGCTCCATGGTGACCATTGCTACCTTGTAGCTCATGATTCCTTTTGGTCCTGACCATCACTTTGGGCAGCCATGCTACAGATGGTAGGCAGGCTTTAAGAACTCTTCAGCTAAGTTGCTCACCTCAGAAATCCCAGACTCTAAATTGGTTTTTCAGCCACAATACTTATATAGCTGCAACAGCTCAGTTTATAGTCAATGATGTCCTGACCTTGGTCAGAACCCCAAACACTGTGGACATTTTTAACTTGTAATGCCAATGTGAGTTTGTTTTAAAAGCGGCTAATACAACCAAAGATGGTACTGATGTAAATCATGTGCTGGCTGGAGAGATAAAAAGATGCAATGTAACACTTAAAGATATGAAGGGAACTTCAAGCAACAGCCCTTCAAAGGGAGGAAGAGGCAAATCAAAACAGACTGGATTGTGATTTCTTGTGAATACAAAGATAATAGAGGGTCAATGGCTGATTGCTCAAGGGGAAGCCAACCTTCCAGATTAAGTCCCAATACATATTTTCTGTTTTCCCCTTTAAAGAATACACAAATATAGGTGTTAAAAAGCCAGTTTCAACTCTACTGAAGTGTGCAAAATGAATAAACATTTTTGCCTGTACCTGTCTGGGTTTGGATATTAGCATGCTGTCAATGTCACAGTTGAAGAATTGGCATATTATCACCCGTGTTACAGGTAAAAGGCATCTCTCTGAGCGGAAGAAGTCGGCTGGCTAGTAGTCAGACAAAAGCAACCAGGACAATAAACTGACTGTCCCTCACCCTGAATGCAAGAATTCACTTGTAATTGAAAGGAATCACAACTACAGAATCCCAATCAATCTGCAAAACTAAGGATCATGAAACATACTGTCACATACCAACAACAATGCGACCTGTAACCACCACTGTAAGAGCTGCAATGTTCAACTATCTGCTGTTCACAAACATTCAGAAACATATCTGAAATTCTGATTTTTTAAAAAACTTCTACTTTTTAAATTCGATTCTAATTTGTGTATGTGTTGTGTTACTAATTATTCTCATATTTAATTCATAATCGATTTGAAGAGGTTCAGATGCTGGAGATTAGAAACAAAAATAAGAATTGTTGGCGAAACTCAGCAGGTCTAACAGCATCTGTAGAGAGAGAAACAGTTAACATTAAGACCAGTGAAGAGTCTGATGAAGAGTCACTGGACTTCAAGCGTTAACTCTGTTTTCTTCCCACAGATGCTGCCAGACCTGCTGAGTTTCACCAGCAAGTTCTCTTTTTTCTCAGTGACTAATAAACTCAAACTTTATAAATTGATGTTTTGCAGAAAGATACCATGTGGAATGGAATCAGAGAACTCAGAATCTCGACAGTGTGGAAACAGGCCCTTCAGCCCAACAAGTTCACATTGACCCTCCAAAGAGCATCCCACCCAGACCTGACCCCTGCCCTTTCCCTGTAACCCTGCATTTCCCATGGCTAACACACCTAATCTACACATCACTGAACACTATGAGCAATTTAGCATGGCCAATCCACCGAGTCTGCACATTTTTGGACTGTGGGAGGAAACTGGAGCACCTCGTGGAAACCCATGCAGATATGGGGAGAACGTGCAAACTCCACACAGACAGTCGCCCGAGAGTGGAATTGAACTTGTGTCCCTGATGCTGTGAAGCTAACCACTGAACCACCATGCTGTCCTTTCTAAATTTAACTTGGTATGACCAGCTAAGGGGACAGATCAATAAAGACAAGAAGCAAGGCCATGATGTTACAAAATGAGATTGAATACAATTCTGCTGCTGCTGCTAACAGCACACAGCTTGTGCTGCTGGATCCCTCACCCACAGCACCTTCTGGGCCTTTGCTACCCTCAGTGCTCCCTCAAAGTGGTGTATAACATGGAGAAGTTCTGATTCATCAGTCAAAGGGCTCAGTGATTCATGGAAATCAGCAGCAGGATTTCTTGTACATGTTTGACTTGATGCCATGAGACCTCATGGGGTATGGGGTGAATGTTGAGGACTGCTGTGGCAACTCCCTCCTGACTGTAAATCATTGTAACTGCTGCAATTTCTAGCAGTTCTTATGGTAGGACAGGACACACCCAGTGACAGTGGCTGGTGTTGTCTGGGAAATAATCTGTAAGGTATGATTTTCTGTGCATGACTATATCAAATTTTTGCTAGAATCGTCTGTAGGACAGCTCTCCAAATTTTGGGACAAGTCCACGGATGTTGCTGAGATCATTTCTGCAGGATTGACAGATCCACTGCTATAGTTATACAGCAGGGGTAAAAAAAATCAATCCTCTCATCCTTCCCAGGCTCTAATGTCCACCTTGTGAATAAGAATTAATTCTAGCATGTTCATACAGAGTCTCAACTGAAAGGTTCGTCATTGAGGTAATGAATTCAGTTTAATGGGACATACTCTCAGTTCACTGTACTTAAATGCCAAATAACTCCTGCATCAGAGTCAGGAGAATGGTTAGATTAAAGTCGGTTGTTAATTGCAAGCTGGTCATGGTGATTATCTAATACAGTTCTCAGTCAGAGTACCAGAAAAATGTCAGCTTGAATGCCAAGGTATCTCACCTTTATTTCAGTATTAGCACCAGAGCCAGCATTGGCTGCACGGGCAAGTTGGATGAGAGATGTTTTACTGTTCTATTCATTGTCTTGTTAACATTCAAGACAAATAGGTATTTCCTGATGAAATTTCTTCAGTGCAAAGAAAGGGACCCTGGGATACTGTTCTAAAGATGTTGAGCCCTGGTGACAAACCAACTGGCGTCCACCATGTTGTGGTTCCAGCTGGTCACTTTGATCCCTCCCCTTGTCACTAAGGTACGAAAGAAACCCATTGACTTTTGGGACGGAAGGCAGCAATAGGTCTCTGCCTCAGTTCTACGCCTCCTGCTTAAGAAGGGCAGACAGGCGCTGGTGTGCTTTCACACCCAGGTGACAACCTTATGTCTTCAGACCTGCCAGCGATACCCTTATGTGGAGAACCCTCCTTATGATGTTTACAGATTGAAAAAGTCTCATGGCACCTTGCCAGAGTTGCCTGCCTTTTACCAGATGCTGATCAAATTCTGGAACACAGTCTGGCTCCCACCTGAGCTCCCTCTCTTCGAAATAGCGGCCATTATCAGGAAGCTGCAACTCAAGCCACCATGGATTCACCATGCTGCTGGATTAATGAGAGCGCTTGACTGCTGGAGAGACGAGAGTTGTGGGGACATGCTGGATGGTGGAGGAATGGGCTACTGGAAACCACAGGAATTTGCACGTTGTGTGTGCTGCGTGTCCAGCTCATTGCCAAAACCATGCAGAAATTATGGTGCTCAGCCTGCACTCGTGGTGGTCAAAGCAGCTCAGATATATTGATCATCCCTCCGTTTGAACTGATCCCTGATTGGACATAATTTCATGTTGGCCCTGGGCTACGTAACCACTCTCCGGAATCTCAGCCCCATATATTGAGCTGTCTCTCAGCAATACCCCTTGCCCCATTCCATTCTGCACACAGGGGTTTCCTGCTACACAGTGTTCACTTCCTCACACTTGTCCATGTTCAGGCACTCCATGGCTTTCCGTCCTACTGGCCGGAGGAAGTGCGCCTCCCACTGGGGGCCTGTACTATCAGGGTGGCCTCCCTTTTCCCATCAGGAATTTGGTATCGAGCACGTTGCACACAGTAGTCTCATGCATTCAGTGAATAAGGATTTCATGGGATCCAGGCTGTCAGCTATCTCTGGGGCCCTGAGGAGTCCAATTTCTTCATTTATGTAGGTTGTGCAATGTTAGAGACCCACCTTCATGAATGGAAGGGGCCACTCTTCAACTTATGGTCAGATTCCATCTCTATCTTCCTGATCTTTGGTCACTCAATGAGAAGGCGTAAGGAGAAGGGCCTTGTTTGTCTGCTTCTGACCCTGGCTAAGGAGGAAGCTGTCTGCTCCAGACAGTGCCCCATGGAGTTGGGTGGGTTATGATTGAGGTGGAGGGGGTTGTTAGTGCCAAATACTGTCTCGCATCCATGGTTCCTGGAGAAGTACCAGGTGCCTTTGAGGGCATCCATGACTGGATGGCACAGCAGGGCCTGGAGAGCAGCCACAGGCTCCCAAATGATGTGTTAAAAGAAGTTGATACATTTCTGTTGAAGTTTCTGTTACAGTATCCTGCTCTTGAGTACAAATTAACCAATTTGTTAGATTTGATGATTTATGAAGAGGAATTGGCTCCCCTCTCGTTTTTGTTTCATTCTACTAATGTGACAGTGCCCTTTAAGGAGTTGGTAATTTGGTTTATTGTTTATTTTGTTCCTCAAATGAGTAAAAAATGCTGTTTCTTTAAATTACTGACTAATTCATGAATCAATTTAATCATTTATAAGTTTGCTCAAAAGAGCACAGGAAGGAGCTGCAAGACTGGCACGTATTATCTCCCTCAAAATGCCTTTTAATTCGAAAACCTTCCTTTCAACAACTGTGTTTTTGTTACAATAATCTGAAAATACCCCGTTAAAAGAGTTTGACATTGATTTAATTCATTCATTTATAAATGGACACTGTAAGTACTATCAAAAGGCACTGCCCAGCAGTGAGTGGGTTGCTAGCCAGGAAGCAGAGATATGTGATGCTGCTTTGTGGGAATAAACTTTCCATCAAGTAAATAATCTGTGTCCAGGTTCACATCTCACCATCTACTTAACATGGTGGGAAGAGGAGCAGAGGGAAAATTAGCCAGGATCCCCTCCCCAACCTGAAAATTACATTTGGATATTTAATGCTAGCAGTGTTATTGTCTCTGATGACCTCACTTGTCAACTAGCTACAGTTTTGATTGTTGAGATAGACATTTGTAAATCAGTGATGGAATCAAGGCTTATGGGGAAAAGGCAGGAAAGTGGAGGTGAGGATTATCAGAGCCGCCAGGATCTCACTGAATGGTGGAGCAGACTTGATGGGCTGAATGGCCTACTTCTGCTCATTCGTCCCTGTGGTCTAATGCAGCACTGATTATTTTCATCTTTTTCAGCAAGAAGTGGTCCGAATCCTTGTCGGCTATATTGCGTTCAGCATTTGTGTTTCACCTTATTATTTGTAAAATGCCTAAAAAGAGTTTCTGAGCAGTGTTCCTGTTGGGTTATGATACATTCTAAAGACATTTGGACATTGATAGTGTTGAATAAATAACACAAGAGTCTGGATCTCAGTTCCAGGCATATCGTTTAGTGTCTGATTCCATGCTGAATGCCATAACCACTTGAACATTGGGTAAGGTGCATTCCTCTCAGCTATCACTCACTGATAAAGAATTGAAGGCAGAAAGGCCTCCACTATGTGGCCCTCGCTGTGAGGTCCTCATATTACATCTTTCAATAGGTTGAACAAAACTGAACGTCACATAACTGCACATTCTGGAGGGTGTAAAATTGTGTGGAAGCTGAAAACTTCCAAAGTAAGTTCATCTCAAGATGCGGCATTTAGAGAGAAGGTGCTGGTAGCATTGTGTGGAAAAACACTTGTCAGAAGTGATGGGATGATTGGTAAATGAGCCTGCAGGTATTCTGCAGCAAGTAGTTCACTTCCTGACTCCCTACACCCTCATCTCTATCTATGAGGCACAAGTCAGAAGTCTAATTGAATATTTTCCATTTACCTGGATGGGTGCAGCTGCAACAACAGTCCAGAAGCTTAACATCAACCAGGACAAAGCAATCCACTAGATGGTGAGCCAAGCCTGGAGTTAAGCCTCCATACTACGAGCATCAGCAGTTTGTTCTACCTGCAGGATGCAAGGCAGTGATTTGGCATGTCCTCTTTGATAGCACCTCCAAAATATGTGGTCTCTTCCCCCTCAAAGTCACGTAATATCATAACCTCAATGTATAGCTCCATTTCTTTTTGGTAGTTGAGACAAGATCCCAGAAGCAGCTTTAACAAAGTGGATCAAGTAAGTCTGCATCCACTTCTCAAGAGCAACAAGGGATGGGAAACAAGCGCAAGCCTTGCCAGTGAGACCAACACCCAAAGAATAAATTAAATAAAAGCAACTCTTGAAATGGAATTTCTGTGTTTTTTCTTGTCATCTCTGTTCAGTCTCTTCCCTGAGTACACTCATGCATACAATTCTACGTTTGCATTACCGAGACTTTCTGCGAGCATGGGACACACCTGGTTTCTCTGTTTATGGCCAACTTGTAAAGTTACTGTTTGACCAGCAAATGGATTTGACAATTTAATTTAGCTGGGATTACAAACCAAGACACTCTCTTACCTGAGCCATTTCCAGGAACAGGAGAACATCTCCATCTATGTCTACACCCTGGTGTGTTGCTTCAATCAGGCCAATTACTGTGTACTGCTCTGCAACAAAGCAAAACCAATCCATTCATTTCATTTCTCAGTTATCAAATCTCAAAGACTGGATTGACCTTGTGCATTGAATGTAGATGAAAGCTAAAACAACTTCAGGCAGGGACAAGGGAATTGATCATGGAGGATGTGGAAGTGGTGAAGGATCTAAATAGTTACTTTTCGCTTGTGTGTCCGTAAGAAAGATTTTGATAAGGTCCCACTTGGGAGATCAAGAAAGAGAAGCACTTGTGAGAACAACATTTTTGGAAGTTAAAACTGAAGCATTTTCAAAAGCAAACAGATTTCCCACCAAAGATAAGGATCTCAACACCATGAACCTTGGACAAACTTAAATTTTAGTGAGATCCCATTTCTTACCTGTTAATGCTACCAGGTGAGGTAGACAGAGGCGATTTGCCAGCACAATGAGTTCCATGGCATCCAGGTCTGGGCTAGAACAGAACTGTCCCGTGTACAGGTATTCCAGCACAGCTTGCATGCAGCTCTTGTATGTGTTTGGAAAGTACACCTTTTGAAACATATAAAAAAGGTAAAAAGTCTCTGAAGACTGAATGAGAGGCAAAATTCCAATATCTCAACATGACCTGACAATAAAAATTAACCTAGCTCTTTTCATTCAGTCCACAGGAAAGCGATGTTTTGTTGTGCACCACACACAATTTCAGAAATTGCATTGTCAGCTGTCAGTCAGGAGGACTGTTTGCTTCAGAGTTGAAAAGCTGTGCATGTAAATTTCACACAGAAGGTCTAAGTGTATAGTTCAGCTTGACATTCCACCAGAGTACACTCGCACCGCACTGCCCCATTGTTTGAAACAGAGTGCCTGCAAGATGTTAAATTGGGGTCTCAAGTTGCCCTCGCGGATCTCCATGGCATCCTGGCCAACTTTCATGCCTCAATTAACATCATCAAAACAGATTACTTGGCCATTGTCACATTGCTGTTTGTGAGAGCTTGACGTGGGACATGGACTGCCATGTTTTCTACATTACAACAGTGCCAGGGGTGGCACGGTGGCTCAGTGGTTAGTACTGCTGCCTCACAGCGCCAGCAACCTGGGTTCAATTCCACCCTTGGGTGACTGTCTGTGCAGAGTTTGCACATTCTCCCCGTGTCTGCGTGGGTTTCCTCCGGGTCCTCCAGTTTCCAAAGATGTGCAGGTTAGGTAAATTGGCTATGCTAAATTGCCCATCGTGTTCAGGGATGTGTAGATTAAGTGAGTTACAGGGGATGGGTCTGGGTGGGATGCTCTGAGGTTCGGTGTGGACTTGTTGGGCCAAAGGGCCTGTTTCCACAATGTAGGGATTCTATGATCTATGACTGCACTAAATCTTGCACAAGTAAGAGATGTCTTTAGTTTATTTGTTGGATAGAGTCAAACTCCAGTGTTTGTCTCTTTTCTTCATATGCTACTGTACAGAACTGAACTGCTTTAGTGACTTAGTAAACGTATGTTTTTTGAATAAAGTACATTTTGAAATTTAAAAAAAAAAGTGACTGCACTTGACATGAAGTACTTTGGGATATTCTCGAATTGTGAAAGATGCTGGAGAAAGTTTCTGTTACTGTAAGGCACTATGAATAATAAAAAAAACTGTCAGCTAAAACAATGTTTAACAAAGCAGTGTATAAAAAGAATTGAGAAGACAACTCAAGTGGACCTAAGATGCACTTTGTAAAAATCTGTTTTGTAAAAAGAATGTGTAAGCTGTATATCCTGCACACCTATTCTCTCTTGTCCCACACACTATTTTACCGAGCAGCGGTTACTGAACTCACAGGAATCATGTGAGGACAGAGCAAATCTACACGTCTACTGGAGCAATCCTCAACCACTTGTTTTCTGTATTTGGATCATGGAATGATACAATGCCACAGGAGACCATTGGCCCCTCATGATGGCGTTGGTAGAACTCTATTGTCAATCCCCCATGCCTCTTTTCTCGCAGCGATCACAGGGGTTTGCATTCCCTGGGCAGTGTACCATGACTCTCATTCCTTTGTAATTCATTACATAGCAGGTAGGAAATACAACTGAAAGCATTATGTGGTGAAACTCATACCTCACAACTAGGGTTGGCCATGTTTCAGAATTGCCCTAAAGTATTCAGGAAATGAAGATAAATCTCTCAATTGTGCCAGCAAATCTGAGAAAAATAACAGGTGCCTCATTGTTGAGTATCTTCATTCCACTGATAGAGTCACAGACGTACACAGCATCGAAACAGACCTTTTGGTCCAAATCATCCATGCCGACCAGATATCCTAAATAAATCTAGCCTCCACCACCTCCTCTGGCAGCTCATTCCATACAGGCACCACCCTCTGCGTGAAAAAGTTGCCCCTTAGGTCCCTTTTAAATCTTTCCCCTCTGACCTCAAACCCATGCCCTCTAGTTTTGGAGTCCACCCCCACCCCAGGGAAAATACCTTGGCTGTTCACCCTATCCATGCCCCTCATGATTTTATCAATCTTTCCAAATTATAGAGTCATCAAACTGTACAGCATGGAAACAGACCCTTCAGTCCAACTCGTCCATGCCTACCAGATACCTGAAATAAATCTAGTCCCATTTACCAGTATTTGGCCCAAATCCCTCTAAACCCTTCCCATTCATATACCCATCCAGATGCCTGGAGATTTTGGAAGACTAGGGGCAGCAAGGGATGCAGAGGAAGAGCAGCAAAGTGGCATTGAGGGAGATCATCAGCCATGATCTAAGCAAATGGTGGAACAGGATCAAGGGGCCGAATGGCCTACTGATTTGCTCTTACCAATCATCCAATCAGGCACCTAAGAGCCTCTTCACTCTCCAAGTGGCCAAGTGCCATCTCTGTTCCAGACAGCAGTCCCATGACATGGGACTAAAATGGTACAGTTGCTGCGCCATTTAGCGTCGGCGTTAAGAATAACGCGCCCTGATACCACGATCTTCTCAGTGTGTGTTTATAGCGAACAATTCAGGGACAAAAACACGTGCATAAATTGTATCACTAAAGGCACACCAACTCTTTCTAATGCATGGTGCAACCAGTCTGACGTTGTGTGCGTTTTGTGCTGCATAGAAGTTGACACTTGCACACCACACTGAACAAACTGATCGATGTGGGCAATGCATAGAAGTCCCGAATTCTTCACAAAGCGAAGGGTCTGGAAAGATGCAAACGAAAAGCAATTGAAATCAGTCAGGAGATAGTAGGAACTGCAGATGCTGGAGAATCTGAGATAACAAGGTGCAGAGCTGGATGAACACAGCAGGCCAAGCAGCATCATTTCTGAAGGAGGGTCTCGGCCCGAAACGTCAGCTTTCCTGCTCCTCTGATGCTGCTTGGCCTGCTGTGTTCATCCAGCTCTGCACCATGTTATCTTGGAATCAGTCAGGACCCTCTTTAAATGGCTGTTTCCCAAAAATCAGACTCTCCCCTTGACGTGTAACAAAGGGAAAACGACCAAACATTTCAGAAACAGATCCCAGTAAACAAAATCCGTTCTATCTCTGCGGGGCTTGTTTCATATACTGTCTCTGAGTTTGTTAAATTGATTTGTATCAGTCGTTTTGCACTGAAGTTGGAATAAAGGAGTCATGTTGCTTCATCGCCAGCTCTATAAATAGCACTGTAACCTTCAGCCAGGCAGCACAGCGCTTGATAAAACATGGAAGGTCAGACTCGGTGAGTTTCATCACCTCACATCTCTCTTAATTATTGTTGAAAGATGAAAGCAAGCACTCCACATCTTTCAAGCAGCATCAGATCAGACATCATCTGTACATTGACGACTGAACAAACTCCTGTCTGATTAATAAAACAAGATTCACGAGGCCATTTACACCGTGTTTTGTGTTGTATAACACAGTGCGGTCGAAGTACAGATGCACTGAGCTGCCGTCATCGAAGCACACAGCAGCTTGCATACGATGGATGTTAAATCTCATTCTGAAAAAGACGGCACCTGGCCCCAAGTTATGTTTTTTTCAGGTGTCCTAGGCGAACATTGATCGCTGGACCAGCATGAGGAAAATAAGCTGTTTGCTCATTTACTTAATTGTTGTTGTGAGATCTTGCCCTGCATTAATTAGCTGCAATTTCACAATCTCAGAATGATTACACCACGGAAGGAGACCATTCGGCCCGTCGTTGTCTCATCAGCTCTCCCAATGATCAATTTACCGAGTGCCATTCTGCTGCGCACCCTTCCTTTTCAGATCACAGACTGCATTTTTCAAAGCTTCAGTTGAACCTGCCTCCACTACAGTCTCAGGCAGTATATTCCCCTAACCACTCACTGCGAGACAAACGTTTTTCTTGTATTTTGCTTTGATTGTCAACTCTCTGTCCAGACTCCTCATCATTTTGAATATGTCAGATCTTCGATTATCCTTTTCATCTTCAAGGAAAAGAGCCCCATCTTATCCAATCTGTCTTCATAATTGAAGTTTCTCATCCCTGGACCTTTCTCCATTGGCTTCACATCTTTCCTAATGTGTGACGCCCAGAACGGGACACAAGATGCCAGCTGTGACTAACTCGTGCCGTATGCAAGTTCAACCTCTGCTCTTGTACGCCAGGCTGGGGTTCGTATAAGCTCCGTGTGGCTGCACGCTGGTTTGTAATGCAGAACCCCTAACATTGCAGGTTCAACCCCTGCACCAGCTGAGCTTACCGTGAAGGACTCTTTCTCAATCTCTCCCTTACCTGAGGTATAGAGACCCTCAAGTCAAGCTATGATCAGTCATCTCTCAGCCCCTGTGGTCTGGTAAGACTATGGCAACTTGATCTTTCCATCCCAGGTCCCTGTTAATAAATCCAAGGATATTCTGGGCTTCGAACCTGTGCTGCCATCTGCTGATAACATGTATATATACATCCAGAGATAGTAGGAACTGCAGATGCTGGAGAATCGGAGATAACAAGGTGTAGAGCTGGATGAACACAGCAGGTCAAGCAGCATCATAGGAGCAGGAAGGCTGACGTTTCTGATGAAGGGTCTAGGCCCAAAACATCAGCCTTCCTGCTCCTATGATGCTGCTTG